CATCGGCTCGTGAAAGGAAACCGACCGGATGATTCAACGTATACAGACGGACAAAGTAGTCGCGGTGCTTACTATACACTGCACTCATCCTTTCCTCGTCCCTATTCTTCTTCGTCTCCTTCATTGTCCGCATCTTCCTATTCCCTATTCCTCATCCAATTCTCTTCTCGTTTCTCTTCGCTCCATCGTTCATAGACCGCGCTGTGGAACTGGTTGTGGTACGTTCATCAAGTTTGACCAGGACGAGAAGGACGAAGACCAAGATAACCTGTCGATCGCGCGTTAACTAATTTTCCATCCCGGTTGGCGTTTTCTTAGAAATTGATCGTTTCCCGTTTTTTCGCCAACATTGATAAAGCGACCTGACTCGTTACAGCGAAATTTATTAACGCGTTTGGTTGCTTTTCGACGATGCACTATCCAAGCAACGGAGAAATGCCTCTTCGAATGAAACGAGTTTTTTCTTAAGAGTAATTAACGTAGTAATGTGAAACGCACGCTGGAGTTTACTAATTAACGGTAATACACCGTTGTAAAAATTGATCGATCTTCATTTTTTCGCCCACGACGATAAAATCTCTTTCTTACCCGTTTCCTCGTACTTTTTCTGTCGTACGTCGCAATAAAAGCGACCGAACTCATTACGCAAAAGTTTGTTAACTGGCTCGATTCTTCTTCGTAATACGTTGGTTAATTAAATGGCTTGTAATTTATGTTGGCAGCAAGCAAAGCGCGCCTTTGTTATCAGGGGGTAATTGGACTTTAGCAAAATCGAACAACGCTACCGGTTTTTTCGCCGGGGCAATAAAGCCCGCTCGAACGAAAAGCATTAATAAATTCTATTCCGGTTCCACGTGAGGTGCGTTCTCTTAGTAAGAAGCGATTTAAGCTAAAGATCATTTACAGCCATTCCGGTGATATTCTTCGAGTAATTTTCATTATTGTGTTAAACGATGTCAAAATTAATCCACTGCGATAACGAGAAGTAAAAATTTGTCGCGTACGTTATTCTTCGAGCGATATCGGTCTCTCTTAAACTGATAATCGAATCATCGAACAGCAGCACCTTGTTGGAATCGCGACAAAGATCGAGATCGGGTCAAGTAGGACTATTGCACCCGCGTGTACATCAATATTGTGACATCGGACTGGTCCATCGACGAGTTCTGCACCGGTATCATTATGGGTAGCTAAGCCACCACTGGATTTTATCTCGATCATCGAGCCGGTGTAAGCCAAACGAGTTGACAAGTCCACGATTCGTCGGAGAAAGGAAGGTCGGGGCGACAAATAGAAAAGGAGAAACCACAGGTACCAGGGTCGAGGAACAGAAAAATCGTTGCCTGAAACCACACGATCGATTACCTGACTCTTGGAAAGAGAGGGAGCGCGGTCGGGAATCTTTTGACAAGTCACTTTGGACCGGGCAACCTGCTTTCGCGGAATCGTTCCCATCGCTCCCGGCTGATACCAATCTCGCTAACATATCGTCCAGCCCACAGACACCATAGTGAAATGCATATTTCGGTACATTGCGTGTCCCGCCATTCCTGTCCGTTTGTTTCCCCATTTCTTCCCCTTTATTTGTCTCTGTGTTTTAAAATGCGAGACGAGCGTAGGTGTCCTGCGGAGTATCAAAATTTATTCGCTCTCACCCTCTTGCGCGTTAAACGCTAGATTCTCCTGTGTTCATCACCGTCCGATTGTGTCACCACCCGATTCACGCGATACGATGCGATTAAAGTCACACGGAATTGTTCGAAAGCTGTTTTCCCTTAAGTAGCTTCACGCCAGATAGTTCACGTTGAACGAGAGTCGAGAACGAGACAGTCGAGAAAAAAAATTCCCTCGTCGTACAGATTGCCATGATCGTAACGGTGAGAAACGCGATACAGGGAAAAAGTGGTCGTTTGAAACGTGCACGAAAGACTTCATCAACTTTCTTAATGCGAGAGAGTTGCGTGGCAGTACGTACATCAGGGTACGCGTGGGGTCGCGCACGACAAACCAGCGGGAGATCGTAATTTGCGGCATAACTCGACGAAGAAGAGCGCACTTTCACGGGCATCGCGACTGCTCTACTTGTCATTCGTCTAACTGTACATTGTTATTATGTCGTTCAGGAATATGGCGTGGAACGGATCCCCGGATAATATCACATGACACGCGTATTCACCGACCTTTCTTGTACCGTTTAAATCCTGTTTCTAAGTACTGTACGTGTCACTGCCCTGGTACGTGCAATTTCGAATCAATAATAATGATATTACGTCACATAAACTATTACACATATACATGTTAGACAAGAGAAAAAGGTATGCTAATAATAAAAAATATTCGTTTCGTATTTCAATTGCAATCGGAGCGCCAGAAGAGATTGCAACGGCGGAGACTTCAACGCCGGCACAAGCGGGATCGATACGTTTTCCCAGCGGTCGGCAATTAAACCGAATCCGTGCTCGTGGTCGCGGTTACGGGAGGAAGAGTAGCATAACACGGCAGCGTTTGTGCCTTTTCGAGCATCGAAATTGAAGAATTTACGAGGTTGACCAGCCCGAGCATTTGCCTTTACACCGCACCTCCCTTAGCCCGTTCCCTTAACAGCATCCTCGTATCTGCGGCCGGTCTCCCTCGCGTTCGAATTTCGTGGTCCCACGTCGATGCTTTCTCGTCTCGTTTCGTCCATCCGTCCGCTCGTCCGTCCGCCCGTCCATTCGTCCGGCGTTGCCGCGCGGATTCAATGTCCATGCAAAGTAAACGGCGGTCTCGAGAACGGCTGTCAATTATCCGTTATATACGGCCCTGGCCCTCGAACCCATTCTTAACGACCCCTTAAAGCTGGCCACGAACAGTCCAGCCCCCTCTCCACGCGTCTCTCTGTATCGCGCCCGAAAACTCGGAGGCATGGGGAGGCCTTCTTCGACGACAACGAAAATGACCACGAGGACACGAGCGGGCCAACGAGAACGAGCCAAGGAACGAACGAACGCGCGACACGAGAAGGACGAAATTGAAGAGGAGGACACGGGCATCGCGACTGCTCTACTTGTCATTCGTCTAACTGTACATTGTTATTATGTCGTTCAGGAATATGGCGTGGAACGGATCCCCGGATAATATCACATGACACGCGTATTCACCGACCTTTCTTGTACCGTTTAAATCCTGTTTCTAAGTACTGTACGTGTCACTGCCCTGGTACGTGCAATTTCGAATCAATAATAATGATATTACGTCACATAAACTATTACACATATACATGTTAGACAAGAGAAAAAGGTATGCTAATAATAAAAAATATTCGTTTCGTATTTCAATTGCAATCGGAGCGCCAGAAGAGATTGCAACGGCGGAGACTTCAACGCCGGCACAAGCGGGATCGATACGTTTTCCCAGCGGTCGGCAATTAAACCGAATCCGTGCTCGTGGTCGCGGTTACGGGAGGAAGAGTAGCATAACACGGCAGCGTTTGTGCCTTTTCGAGCATCGAAATTGAAGAATTTACGAGGTTGACCAGCCCGAGCATTTGCCTTTACACCGCACCTCCCTTAGCCCGTTCCCTTAACAGCATCCTCGTATCTGCGGCCGGTCTCCCTCGCGTTCGAATTTCGTGGTCCCACGTCGATGCTTTCTCGTCTCGTTTCGTCCATCCGTCCGCTCGTCCGTCCGCCCGTCCATTCGTCCGGCGTTGCCGCGCGGATTCAATGTCCATGCAAAGTAAACGGCGGTCTCGAGAACGGCTGTCAATTATCCGTTATATACGGCCCTGGCCCTCGAACCCATTCTTAACGACCCCTTAAAGCTGGCCACGAACAGTCCAGCCCCCTCTCCACGCGTCTCTCTGTATCGCGCCCGAAAACTCGGAGGCATGGGGAGGCCTTCTTCGACGACAACGAAAATGACCACGAGGACACGAGCGGGCCAACGAGAACGAGCCAAGGAACGAACGAACGCGCGACACGAGAAGGACGAAATTGAAGAGGAGGAAGACCGGCTGCGAAACCGGGGGTGAGGTGGAAGCGGTTTCCGGGAATCGTTTGGTATTCCAACGCTACCGCCACTCGCGGCACCTTCCTCCTTCAAACTGCGGACAGATTCCTCTGCGGCCTCGTCGAAGAGGCCGATACAGGGACGATCGCTTCTATAGCCGCGCCGCGAAGTGTGTCAGAATTGCAAATGGACAGCGCGGCAGCCGACGAAACACAGAGACCGACGCAGTCGACGGAAAGAGGGCGCGAATTCCAACGTGTAATTCTCTAAGATGGATTCGAGCCGAGACCAAGGAATTCGTACCGTTCCGTTCCAAGTGGGGGAGTCGGGGTTTCGGGAAAAGGGCTGACGCGTTCCGTCGACAGTGGGAAAGATTCGTTCCGATTTTACGAGAGAATTCGTCCCTTTGTCCCGCTGAGAGGAACTGTCTCTTTTTCTAGCGCGTGTTTGTTTTACGACGCAGAGAATGAATCCTCTGTGCCAGCAGAAAACCTTCGAGTCCGAGTCAAGGTTCTGTAACAATGAAATTTTCTGAGCAAGCTAGAGCTTCTTTACGACCACGATTTAAAATTCATAGCGGAATAATACGATAAACAAGATCGGTTGGCGCGAAGTTAACGAATCTTTTAACGAGGCGACGCTCGCGGAGCACAGGAACGAATGACGCGGCGAAGAGAACGTTCAGGTTAACAGGTACGAAGCATCATTCTCTCGCTCGTAAACGCCAACGCCTCGTAATTATAACGATACGTCCCGTTCGAACGTAACGAGCCAACTGAGAGGAGATCGAAAAGCCACGGGCTCCTCTCGTGGCACACCGAGGCTTTCGGTCTGCTCGTTACATTTATAGCGGAGAATCGCAAATCAATCAATTTCTCTCACGAGGAGACCTTTTTCCGAACGAGTTAATTGACCGTAGCGCGACAAGCATCGTGCTCTAAGCTGACTTCATCACGATTTGTTAACGTAACCGTATATACATACTACAGCGAACCGCTGTGTTCACTCACCGAGTTCAGGCTGCTCACGATTCCTGTCAAACTTCTGCTGGATCTCGCACGATTTGGTTAGTTGTCTCGTTTACACCGTTCTTGCTCAGCTTCCTACTCGAATTAATCGCGTGAACGGCGTTACGTAACGGTGTGAATTTCTTCGAATACACAAACTTGACGCGGGCCCTTGAAATTATAAAAACACGATGAATTTTGTAACTCGTTTAAACCAACGCGACTTGGTCTCTTGGAAAAGTGGTATACGACGATATTCTATTGTTCTGTACTCCATCATACACGGTGTAAGTTAAAATTAAATTTGACAGATTGTGCTTACCTCGATCTTCGTAATACCTACTGTTCTCAAAGATCAGTAACGGATGATCAAGGTTTTGGAACGAGGATCATTGGAATTTTAGTGGCACGTCTATTTAGATACGCTTGGATGTTCGCGTTTTTCGTACGTAGAGTGATTGAAAACGCCTGAAGCGTGGAATACGCGGCGATTCGTCGAAGGCGCGTCACCGTGTGCGGATAATAGCTTATTAACAAAGCATCGGCAAGGCGCGCGAGGAAGTGACAGAGCGGTCTCTCGAATCAAGCGGAACAGAGAAAATAAAAAAGCAGGCGAACAGGGAGGTGCGACGAAGAAGGAGATGAAATCCTGATGCCAGGAGTCCAGTCACGGGTTTTGTCGACGCCTTCGAGAGAAGGGTCTTGACACAACGGGGCTTTAATTACGCCGATATCACGGTAATTAAGCCGATCAATGCATGCCATTGTGCGGCGACCGCGGGGCCCCATCGACGCTAAGGCCCATCCATAATCACGGTCATGGACCCCCTTCGTCCGACACAAAAGCACCCCGGCCCATGGGACACCAGGGCGTTTCGATCCTTGTGCGTTACTTCTTTTTGTGGAGAAACCGCGTGAAAGGAGGCGCAAAAATTGACGCGATCTTCCACATGATACAATTCGTTTAATTGAAACACGAGCACAATATAATTCTCGCGAAGGCTCACCTCGAGTTCGTGCATGAACAATGTTTCTCGTCAAGCTCTATCGACAAATTGTCGAGAAATACAAAGACACGACATGGTCGAACACGAAATTTCCGAATTCTTGGAATCAATTTAACGATGTTTAAAGGTGCACGAAGTTAGAACGAACGATAGGACGATAGAAATTACTGTTACGATTTATCCTTAATTCTAGTCCTTCGTGGCTCGTTCTTTCAATAATCACGAGCAATTATGTTGCGCGTGGCTGGAAGGCAGGTTCGGGCTGTGACGAATATAAATACGCTCCTTTCAATTTCTCGTAGTTGAAAGAAACGCGGCGTGGAAGGTGGTATTTCTTCGAGTCGAGGGAAATCGTGTGTGAAATTCGTTGCTCGAGGCGGCCACGGTCTCGTGGCACATGGTCGTTCGTCGGGGTAATCGCGGCTTGTGTAAGCATCGATACCAGAAAATTGTTCGAAGTCGCTCCTCCCTAAAGCGTGCTCGCTGGGAGGTTAGTCTCGTCGCAGATACCAACACGACAACGTTCATTCTATTAATCGAATGGAGTTTGCGTTACAATCATCCGCACGATATTTCCCCGTAATATGCGCCAGTTGCTCATTTTGTCGAGTAGAATCCTCGTGGCTTCCAGTTATCAACGATTATAGCGTAATTCGTGATCTTCGTAAGGGCATTTCACCTTTTCGATCATGTTACGGTTTTCATTACGAATTCGAAGGTATGTTGATAGTTATAGCAATCTCCGTTGTATAACGAGATCATAAATTGAAGCATGAAGGAACGGTATTACTTGTTGTAAGCCATTTTATATTTTTAGTGAAAGTTATACCAAAACTGAGATAAAAAATGTATGCAGCGAGGAATAATCTGTCATCTCGGCAATTCCCCTGTTAGCAACGCGTTTCTACAATATTTACATTCAACTTGGAAGACTTTTCCATTCAGGAAAAAATGTAAATTTCAATGATTCAAGGGAATTTCAATAATAACAAAAATATAGAAAACTACAAAAAAATATGGTATATTTAAAATAACAGCTCAAGAATACTCAGCAATCACGTGCTATATTGTTACACCGTGGAAGTTACTAGAAACTGCTTACATGCCTAATGGAACATATTCGAATCTTGTCATCAAAAAAATCGATGAAAGGAAGATGCATTAGATCTCTCGGTGATTAAAGTCCGTCGCTAGACCGTGGAACGATGAGAATATTTCCAAAGGTGCATCGTCACCATTCCTTTGTGCACTGCCCCAATTACAAGAAACACTCCTAAGGACGCGACTCATCAATCCCAGTTATTCGGTCGATGATGAACGTACGAACGCTTTGTCACTGTTTACCGAGGTTTATCCGTCGCGTAAAACTCGGAACTTGGAAGCGATGAGACGAAGGGAGAAAGATTTGTTTGCGACCGCCCGCACCGTTTCAACTGTTTGTCGTAGGAGTTAGGACGACCGAGCGTTCCCCACAAAGTGCCGCTCTTTCTCTCTCTCTCTCTTTCTCTCTTCGTCTGGTCGGTTCAGAAAACGAAACGACCAGCCGAACGGTATACTTTTTAGTCACTATTTGCGCCGGTGATTCACGAAACACGAGCGGAAGAGGATCATCAGTCTGTTCACTGCAATCTCTCGCTGCTTTCCTGGACAGATGTAGGTATCCTTCCAATTGGGAAGCGTAATGTTTCCACGCTGCTTCCATTAACCGTATTTATCCGGAACTTCTTGTCCATTTCAACCTGTTAAAAGAAAGTCGTTCTTTGGTATCTACACCATCCTTTACTCGACAATTTCCTGAACGTTTAAAGGAGGATCCAACGTATACTCGAAGGATTCGTTTCACTGTAAAGAAATAATAGTCTTTTTTAAACGTCTCAACCAAAATCCATTGTTTAATGGGGATGTTCACGTTGCAGGTGACGGTCGTCAGTACGAGCACACCAAGCACCAACACGGTTCATCCCAGCGTAAACGACATGGACTGGTTTGCCGGTGTGGCCGAGGAGGAACTGCTGTACTACACGGGCGTCGGCAACGACGTCGATTCTCTTTGGGCTGTGATCGGGAGCTTCGTACCACCGCCGCCTAGACCACCTTATTTACCCGAGGAGGGTGTTACCACTGACGGACTTACCACTTGTGATTTGTGTTCGTGGGCGTGGAGGAACAACAGGCATTCCTTTTCTCTCGACGGCACTCTCGGTAAGTGCCACCGGCACAATCTTATTTCCACCCTTCACGCGCTCCATTCCAACGATACTGATATTCCAGATATTCGTGGGTAATCGTTCAAACAAGCGACGAATCGTTTACTCGATCAAATTTATAGATTTTTCTTCGGTTCCAATTAAGATCCTTTGTCTGAGTGTTTTGCTTTGACGACGCGTTTCTGGAAGATGATGTTTTCAGTGTCCCTTTCGGAATGCCTTCCTCTTGTCAGCTCTTCAACCGGGCCTCTCTTGAAAAGGGTTAGGAAAGTATTATAGTGGTAACATCAAGAGCTACGTGTTATTCCTTCTGTACATACTCCACCGTATTTTTGGCGTATTTGCCGAGTAAACAGCTTTTCTAGAGGATGCTTCAAGCCAAGTTTCTATCGAAAAACAAGGTCTCTCCTAAAGTATCCTCTGAGTCCAGTGACCAGTACGACTCTCGACATTCGCGTAATAAAAGGATTTTCGAGAAAAATCAGACTAGATGAATTTTTGCGGACGTTTATTACGAGATGTAACGATGCACACCTACTAAGAAAACGACGGGCATTATCGGACGTGCGGTTCCATCCTCAGGTCTCTCTTGCTCGTTTTTTACATAAGAAAATAGAAGCGACTTCATTACGAGAAGATACTCGAAATCGATGGTCAGGCAGCTGTCGATACAGTCGCAGTACACATTGGAAATTAGATTATTAAGATTTAATGTTAGGTAATAGAACGTTAGAATGTGTATATCTCTAAAGCAAACTATTAAATAACATTTACCGCTTGTTTCCGATAGAATCAATGAAACGAACGATCGATCTGCTTGTACATTTGAGGAAAAGAAGGAAGAGGAGTAGTCTTTTAATGTACGTGTAACGCTACGTAGAACATTAACGTCTCGTATACCTGGAAGGCGTTCGCGATGTCATAATCGATAGGACGGAATTGGTTAAAACGTAAAAAAGGAACGAGCACGCAAGGTGTACGTCTGCCAGCGTATGGGGTCCTCGGGGTGAAAGGTCGACCGTTGGGTGCACCATGGGAGGCCCGGCGTGCGTTCGTGCCTGTAAAACTTCACTCCACCGCTCTCTCGCACGCTCCCTCTCCACATGTCCCTCATTCGACTCGCGCTAATTCTCGTGACGGACAAATTAAGACGGATAATTCAAGAGCTCGCCCTCGCTTTAGCCCGACCTCCACATCCGGCTGAGACGTTTCGACCAATCGGAGGTCCGATACGACCACTCCTGTGACTCTCCCTTCAGCGATCGTATTCACGATCTATTTTTCTCTCCTCGTTCTTCGACTTAGTTGACACGGTGGTAATCGTAGAGATTCGTATCAAAAGACTACGAAACGAAACAATAAAAAGAAATAGAAAAAAGTATTTCCAGACTGCCAGGTTCTGAGATGCGAACATTTGAATTTGTCAAATTCGATATGGACGATTTCAAGGATGGTTATAAGAATTCAAGGTTGGTTACGCGGAATTGAATAATAAAAGACAAGATTGCATATAACTGAACAACGTAAAAACAAAACCGCATTGATCGGTGCTTAAACACTCGATGTAGAAACGGTTTCGATTGAAAAGGTTCTTTGGACGGAGGCCGTGCTGTACATTCGGTCGGAGGAATTCGTCCAATCAGAAAGCCAGCTCTACCCTGAAGGACCTTGGTTCGCACGTACGCGAACCAAAGTGTACATACATACATACGTAAGTCTGTTCGTATCGTGGCAGGGTGCCCCACCTCTGTTCGAGGCCTGTTCGGCGCAACCGCCCTCCTCCTTGTTTCAGCCCCTGCGGGCCCCATCGTTCCAGGCACGCATTATCGCCATTACCATGAATTCCAGCAGTTATTACGCCTCTGTTGTACCGCCACGAAAATGGCGGCCCGGTGCATCCTACCGTGCAACGAGGACGCGCTCCGTTCGGCCCCATCCCCGTTTCGCTCGGGCGCCTGTGCTCCCGGCATGTCGTTCCACCGCTT